AACAAACCATACATCAATGGAAAGCTTATTTATTCAGCTTTTATACGATGTATAAATCTCAATTTCAAAAAATTGACACTTATGACTTTGGTCCAGGGTCACAAATACTACACAGGTGAGAGCGCTGCTTACTTCTCCAGGTAGACTGAGGACAGGTTGTAGGTTTGGTCCATCTTCTGCAGGGTGATGTCCAGCTCTGAGCGCAGGACTGGAGTGCTGGACTGCTCCGGAGAGGACAGCACCTCCTCAGCTTTCTGAGACACTCGGTCCAGGTTATTCTTAATTCCTTCCAGCTCCATTTGCACTTTCTGTTTGAGCCAGAGACAAAAACACAATGATTAATTTGGTTAAATATGACAAAGAACATGGTCTGAGTCATAATTCACATAATAATCAAAAGAAAAAAATGAGAGATTATATTCAGGGTACAGTTAATTAAAACTGAAACTCAGAACCATTCAAAATAAAATTAAAGATAAAAAGACTAAAAAATGAAAGATGTTGCTTGAAAATAAGGGAAACATTTATTTTTAATATTTAATTTGATCAGTTAACATTTATTGTATTTCAAGCAACATCTTTCATTTTTTAGTTTAACTTGATGTACAAAAATAACTAAAACTTAAATAAAAATGTCTAAAATCTTTCTCTCTATACAGTGACAAAAACACAACAAAATTACTACAATTTTAACTATAATTAAAATGAAAATTGAAAAGTAAAAATGTATTCAAAATATTAATACAAACTATAATAGTATTTCAAAAATACTAAAAAATCTTGGAGATTTTTCAGATTTTTTTTTCTTCTTGACATTATTTTCAGGACAATTAAGCACACATTTTAATACCTTGATGGGTTAAAATCTCAATAAATCGCAATGAGAAACACAAAATAAGGAAATGGTGAAATCCATTACAATAAGAAGAACATCTCAGGGAAATGTACTTAAATGTCACAAAAATAAAATCACAAAGCAAAAAATCATAATGGTCATAAATTGCGATTTTGGGGATGTGTTCTTGACATGTTTGTTGAAATTCACCCATTTATGAGTCACAGATATGATTTGAATTTGTATACACATACTTCAGGTGCAAAAGAGTTTTAACTGGATCAGATATAAAGAACAAGAGCTTTGTGTCGTACTCTCTGATCAGCAGTCTTCTGCATGCAGTCTCTGAGCGGATCTTTATCCACTGGTCGCCGGATACGGGCCACCGTACGAGACTCACAGTCTTCGATCTGCAGGCGCAGGTTTTTGATTTGGGTGATGTATGACTTGCATATGGATTCATCCTGCTCGCCTTCAAAGAGAAAAGATTTGTTATTACGGTTTTCTGTCAACACTGAAGGCAAACAACAGTTTATCTCTTCATTTATCAGTCTGCTGCAGCCAACATTCATGACACTTAGTCACATCACACACATTCCATCTGTGTTAGTGGCTCAGATTTCATCCCAAAATCAAAAGAACAATTTTTTTTAATTAAATGTGCATGAAGAAAATGAGGCATATTTTGAGAACTCTTACAGCTCATACCAGTAAAATATGTTTTACTGCATTCATTTTTTGTATTTAAATAAAATAAAGTACAACAAGCACTACCATGATGCAAAATACTATACTTATGTATATATATATATATATATATATACTGTATATATAGACAGACATATAGATATATACATAGATAGATAGATAGATAGATAGAGAATATAGATATTTATATAGTACTTGATATACCAAAATAACTAAGACAACTTTAATAAAATAGCTAAAAACTATATTGACATAAAAAAAAAAAATGACAATAACACAACAAAACTAAAAAAAAACTTTAACTTAAACTGAAATAAAAACAGAAAATATAAAAATAATATCTCAAAATATTAACAAAAATTTTAATAGTAAAAAATAAACTGATAAAAAATAAAATAAATGAAAAATTAGATTTAAATTTTATTTCAAGTTATAATGTTTTTTTTTCTTTCTTTTTTACGGTTTTAGTTTTAGTTAACTATAATAACCCTGGCTGGACATGGTCCTGACATGTTTCGATGGATTTACCCAGTTGGATGTCATCTAAATGAAAACTATACAGTTTTAGAAATTGATCGTTTGACCAGGCTGTGTGTTTTTCGTCTATGTTACTATGTTGAGCGTTTCAGTACATGCACACTCTGTAGGGATGTGTTGTTAGCTAAAGCACAGGAAACAAACAATATCAAAAGCTGACACTAGATGTTTTTCCATTACAGAGCAGCTCATCCATGATAACCAAACTCTGCTCATCAGGCCAGCACGAGCACAAGACTCACCCTGCGCTCTGACAGCTGCTCCTGAAATGTGAATTCAACAGTTACCCAACACCCTCATGTTTCAGTGTTTCATGGCATCGATAATGCACAGTGAGCTCTGTCAGGGATTCGTGTCTGTACCTTTCTCCAGGGTGTGGAGCAGGCTGTCGTAATGCTGTACGGTCTCCTTATAGTCCCTCTCGATCTGCATGTTGTCACTGGAATCGAAAAGCTTGGAGTCCTGCCTGTCTTTGAGGAAGTCCTGATAGTGCAGCTGGAGGTTCCTCAGCATCAGCTGGTACTCGTCTGTCTTCATCGTCTTGAACTGAAACATAAGAGTACTCTTAGCTACTTTTACATAAAAAATGTATCTTTCCCTAAAGTACTGATTAGTGCAATGACAAAATTGCAATAATAGGCCTACTTAATTATCTTGATCTAGTCTCGTCTGAAATGTGTTGCAAAACTATTCTCAGATGTTAAAACAGCAGAATCATGTCTACTCTTTAATTCATTTAGAAGAGCCCTTGAAGGTACTGTCATTCAATAAAGCAGTTTTCCTTGTTTACCGCCTGTTTCCTAAATATAACTCGGTCGGTCTGCAACCTAACAATCAAGTTACTGAATTAAAATCCCATGTTGTTCACTGTAGAACACGTGTTTTTCTTTCAGAGTGAAATAACCAGACAGTGCATTTACTTCTAAGTTTCACAGCATATATGCACTGATCTCTTTCAGTAGCAAATACATTTCATCAATTAAATGGCTAAATCATAAAAGGCCGACCTCATACGTCATCCGCCCGGAGCTGCTTCCGTTTACAATAGTGAGCGCAAGCTAGATTAAAGTGATTATTACGTTTTGAATATGGATATTTTTCTTACAAAAAAGCATCGATTCGCTACAGGAGGCCTTTGTTCACCTCCCCATTTTTTTATGGATGGGCGCTTTTCATTTAACTTCTTTTGGACTGATGCATGCAACACCCGCTGAGTGGCATTAAACAGCTTGAAAGATCAAAGACAATTTTTAATATAACTCCGATTGGATTCGTCTGAAAGAAGAAAGTCATGTATCTTTCCCTAAAGTACTGATTAGTGCAATGACAAAATTGCAATAATAGGCCTACTTAATTATCTTGATCTAGTCTCGTCTGAAATGTGTTGCAAAACTATTCTCAGATGTTAAAACAGCAGAATCATGTCTACTCTTTAATTCATTTAGAAGAGCCCTTGAAGGTACTGTCATTCAATAAAGCAGTTTTCCTTGTTTACCGCCTGTTTCCTAAATATAACTCGGTCGGTCTGCAACCTAACAATCAAGTTACTGAATTAAAATCCCATGTTGTTCACTGTAGAACACGTGTTTTTCTTTCAGAGTGAAATAACCAGACAGTGCATTTACTTCTAAGTTTCACAGCATATATGCACTGATCTCTTTCAGTAGCAAATACATTTCATCAATTAAATGGCTAAATCATAAAAGGCCGACCTCATACGTCATCCGCCCGGAGCTGCTTCCGTTTACAATAGTGAGCGCAAGCTAGATTAAAGTGATTATTACGTTTTGAATATGGATATTTTTCTTACAAAAAAGCATCGATTCGCTACAGGAGGCCTTTGTTCACCTCCCCATTTTTTTATGGATGGGCGCTTTTCATTTAACTTCTTTTGGACTGATGCATGCAACACCCGCTGAGTGGCATTAAACAGCTTGAAAGATCAAAGACAATTTTTAATATAACTCCGATTGGATTCGTCTGAAAGAAGAAAGTCATATACACCTAGGATGACTTGAGGGTGAGTAATTTATGGGCTAATTTTGGGTGAACTAACCCTTTAATGACTAAAACACAGAGGTATGTATTTATGTCATGAATGAAGCATAGAACGGACCATAGTGATGTTCCAGGAGCGGATGAGATGGATGTCTTTCATCAGGTATTGCCAGGACAGCAGACTCCTGAGGTCAGTGTGAAGCTTCTGCCACAGAGCCAGAGTCTGCTGGTGACCGGCCTCCAGACTGACAGAAACATCAACATAACATCACAGTCAAAATCTTACAGTGTGTTTCAGGTCATACTGTATTCTAAGAAAAGAGAAATCTGAGAGAAAAAAAACAAAAAAAAATTTTTTAGTTTAACTTTTTTTTTGTTTAACTTGTAATAAAATAACCATCACTGATACAGAAAATAATTGAAAAATATGTACACATACTGTATTACAAAAAAAAAACCTAATAAAAATGACAAAACACAGCAAAATAACTAAAACTTTAATTTAAAAAACAGCCCCCCCATCAAGAAAATATGAAATAAAAAAACAAATGAAAATATGAATAAAAAAATATAATAGTATCTTATACAGTATTTTTCTCAGATAGTTGCCAAGGGAAAATTTCTCGTTTTTGTTTTTAGCTGAAGTACAAAAATAAATAAAGTTAAATAAACTAAAACTTAATAATAATTAGTAAATACTATAAATATGCATGTATAAAAACACTAATACAAAACACAGAACAAAATTACTCAAACTTGAAAACAGAAAATATGTATCAAAATATATCAAAAAAATATAAATTGCATATCAATGAAACAAACAAAAAAAATGATGATAACAAAAACACACAAACAAAATTATTAAACTTGAAAAAATAAACTGAAAATCTAACTCAAAATCCTATATTAGTACATCAATGACAGTAAAATAACGCTGGTAGACAGTAAACACCAATGTTCCTTTGAAGTACTCCAGAAAACACTGCTTTTCCAGTGTAGTATGTATAATGCACCTGGACACGTTCTCGACAGCCTCCTTGTTGACGGGTGGCACGAGGAAGCAGATGGACGGCACAACGGCCTCATTTCCCGAGCGGTTCAGAACCGTCCACCTGAAGGGCTGTGAGTTATTGATGAGCGCGCACTCGTCGCCCTTGTGCACGGTGATCTGTCAGGAGAAACAGGGGTCAAGCGTGCAGCACAAGTACACTGTGAGCGTGTGTGACAGCTAGTGTTAATTTCTTTAACCAAAACTATAACGAAAGATGTTCGTTGACTAGCTTTTTTCCCATGACTAAGATGAGACGACAATAAGGTAAATAAACGATAACTATGACTACATCAACATCTAATATCGTTGGCGAAAAAAGACGACACTAAAATGTATTCAAAAAATTTTAAACTTGACCAAAAACCTCTTTTTATTTTCATCAAAAAAAGGAGACAAAATGTTATTGCGCACTGCTCTACAGGCCTCTACTATGCGAGCTTTCATGAGCACGGTTGCCAGATATCAAGAGTTCAAATCCCCGAAACAGAGCTTCGCTGTTACATGGATACATTTTCTGCCCTTTGTTTTGCTTATTTTAAGCAATCTGGAAACCATGTGCCACTGATGATCTAAAAACAGCGACAAACAAGTTGGAGTTTAGCATCTAAATGAAAGTGTCCCTCAGCCGATCTGTGTTCTGTCATGAGATCTCGACTGTATTGTTTGCGATTGTGATCGCTGAATAAATGCGCTTACTCAACCGCTGATGTTTTAAAAGAGAAATAGGCTATTATTGGAATTAGTGGAACTACTTGGAATTTCACTGTTATAATATTTTTCAATTACCAGTTTTTATTGTAGACAGAGACAGTGCATAAGTCGTTGGTATTAATTTATACACTAGATTTGCTTTGACCAAAACTAGATTAAAATACTTCAGGTTCTCTTTGACTAAAACTTGACTAAAATACATTAGATTCTCTTTGACTAAAACTAGACTAAAATACTTTGGGTTCTCTTTGACTTAAACTAGACTAAAATACTTCAGGTTCTCTTTGACTAAAACTTGACTAAAATACATTAGATTCTCTTTGACTAAAACTAGACTAAAATACTTTGGGTTCTCTTTGACTTAAACTAGACTAAAATACTTCAGGTTCTCTTTGACTAAAACTAGGGCAGCTTGCCTCTGAAGGGGCTGGTGGGATCGCGCGGCTTCAGCTGGACGACGGACTTGGCTCTCTTGTTCAGACCACCGATGTCAGATTTGAACTCGTTCAGCTGCTCTCTTTCCTCCTGTGGTCAAACTCACTTAGTTAGCTTAAAGCTACTTACTAATTTTACTTTTTCATTTTAATACCATTATAAGAATTGTTTTTCCATTAAAATAAAAGTTTGATGGTTTAATGTTTGAAAATGAAGAACTTAAAACAGCCATAATTATTAGTGATATAATTTTGCAGGTGTAATGTTAAATAAATAAATATTATTATTTCTTATTTTACTAAACTATTACAATAGTAATATTTCTTATTGTTTTGATTCAGTCAATTTTATATTTAATATAACTACTACTACTTATTAATATTATTATTATTATTATATGTTTCTTAAATACTGTATTTTTTATTTTAGTGAAATATTACAATAGTAATATTTTATTTTGTTTGGATTGACTATTTAATTTTTTCATTTAATTTTTTATTTTATTTAATTTCATTTCATTTCACAACATTTTAGCCAAACTGTTCAGCCCTACAAACAAGCACAGCAAATGTGGATTGTTTATTTTAAATCACATTTTAAGTCACAAAATTAGCTTTATAAATTTGATTTATTTCTCCAATTGTGCTACAATATTGTGACATCAGTGTTGCAATATTACATTAAATGTGTGTAGTAAACAATCTCTACTGTACCGATAACTGTACACTTGCAAAACAAACACTAGCATTACAGTTTAGTTTTTATAAGCCAACCGCTGACAACGAAAAGCAAACTCACAACAGCGTCCTGCAGTAGATCCTCCAGACGAGTGGCAGTGGTGGTGCGGTCACACATGTACTTCTTCTTCATGGTCTCCTGCATCTTCTTCATCCTCTCCTCAGCATCTCTCACATCAGCAAAGAACTACGGGTAAAACAGGACGAGAAAGAGAAGAATACTGCTTATACATGATTGACCAACAAAGAACTGCACATGGTTACATGATATCGATGCTGTACCTGGAAGTATGCAGTGTTTTCTTTGAGATGAGTTTCAATGCAACAGCACACCTGGAGGAGCCAGCTCCACTGCGTCTGCAGAGCTGCGGTGAACGCCTGAAGATCAACACAACACACAAATAACACTTACAACACACACTAGTGTTCAGAACGGTTTATAATAATCAGAACTGTTTCTCAAGCAGCAAATTAGCATATTAGAATGATTTCTGAAGGATCGTGTGACACTGAAGACTGGAGTAATGATGCTGGAAATACAGCTTTGCTCACAGCAATAAAATATATTTGAACAGATACTCGCATAGAAAACAGCTATTTAAAAATGTAATAATTTTACACAATTTTACTGTACTTTTAATCAAATAAATGCAGTCTTGGCGAGCAGAAGCGTCTTTGGTAACATTTTACTTAATGCCTTTATGCATAATGCTTTATAAAAGTAGTTTTAATGCATTCATTATGTCTCATTATAATGCATTGTATGATCTCATGAATAATTGTAAGCGCAGATAATACTTTATAACACTTATCAATTCAACATTACACTGTGCATTTTAAATGTAAGGTACAATGTATTACAATGCACATTATAAATAATTATAATCATCCATTATACCTTTTAATAACCCTTTGTAATGCATTATACACAAAGGCTTTTAGTAAAGTGTTACCATGTCTTCTTTTAAAAACATGAATCGTTGACTCCGTACCTCAACAGTCTTCTTGCCTGGATGTCCGTCTTTAATGAGTCTGTCTCCACTGGCCTGGATGCCATTGATTTTCTTCTCTCTAAGTTCCAGTTCTCGCATGAGTCCCTGAGGAATTAATCAGACCATGAAGAACAATCCAAACTGTCAGTATTCTCCATTTACACCTGGTTAAACTATAATGAGCAACAGGCAAACCCCTAACCCTAGACAAAGAAACAGGAGTATAAAATGCTGTTTTTGGCTCTGCACTTACTGAGTAGTTCTCTTTCTTTGCAGCCATGTTGGTGTTGCGCTCACTCCAGTCGTAGTTGACCTCCTCTTCCTCTTTGTCATTGAGCCACATCAGTTCCTTGGTGGCGGCGCTGACGAAGTTATACAGCTGGTCAAGATTTCTCAGACGGGACTTGGAGGAGTTCTAGAGAAGAAGAGAGACGTATGCTGACTCTGCAAGGCCTAGTGATTTTTAATAGCTGCCGGTTAAAACACTCACCAGCAGTTTGTTGTACTGCAGATCCAGTTTGCCCAGATATTCTCTGTATGTGGCTTTACTTGCAGGCGAGAGCTGGTTCTGAAACACACACAGAGGAAGAGATGTCACAAAAGACCATCTAAAGCTCTTTGAAGTAAAATTAGGAAATACATTTATCCATTTTTTTTAGTAAAATCAAATTTATTTGTATCGAGCTTTTCGTGCCTTTTTTCTTTATGCCGTAAGGACTGCTCACACCAAGGACTACAAAGTTTACTATAAAGTTTTTATAATTGTTCTAATTCTATGGGAATAGCATAGTCCACACCACAACTATAAAGATAACAAGAAAGAGGAATGATATCGGTGGAGTCACTTTCAGAAGTTTTTTTCCCAGCTGATGAACAATAAAGACTTTGACAGCCAATTAGAATCTATCCTGCTTTACAGAGCTCAAGTATTTAAAGTGGCAGGCAACAATACTCCAGCTTATAATAAACAGAACATTACTGTCTATTGATAACACTGCTAATACAGTTATATGTATCTTTATAGTTATCATTCTTTATGTGAATGGGCCTTTATGATCACATTTAGTGAATGGCTGACCATTCAGTTTACATTTTGCCACAATATAAAAAAATCAAGCCGTTAAATTTGCAATATTGCATATATTGCTTTGCTTGAATATACTGTACATCTGTTAGTCAAATTGGATATGTATATATTTAACTTTAAATATATAGCTATGTGATAAAAGTTTAGATTTTGTGCCAGTATAAACATTCAAGCAGTTGAGATTTGCAAAATAGTTGTACATACTGCTTTAAATCAGTGTACAGTATGTATGACGGTATAGTTAAATATACTTATAGTAGTTTAGTAGTAGTAATTTGTTATTAATTATTCATGTGTAAATTTACTAGAATTTTTTAATTACTATAGTTAGTTACATAGTAAGTTAAAAATCATGGTTGAGTCAAATGAAAAGTCTAGGAGGAGTTGAAGACATCACAGTCCATTAAAATATGCTTCAAAGATAACGGACTTTAGCGTACAGGGCATATTTTATACATAAACAATAATTTAAGAAAAATAGTTCGAAAAGGTAAGAGTCTATAATAAAAAAGTAAACAATATAAAGTACCTCGTCTGTTCGTGCACGCTCGATCTTAGCCTTGAAGTCCTCGATGGTTTGGTGAAGTCCTCTGTGGCTGCCCAGCTGAGACTCCACAGAGGGAAGATCGATGCCCCACTCGGCCGTATCGATCCGCCGCTGGTTCTCCTCCACCCAGGATAACAGGTCCTGCGCGTAACGGAGCGTGACCTCATCGAGCTCGGGCCGCACGCGCTGCACAGGCTTCTGGGTAATGTGTGTGATGGAGACGTGAGAGGCCGTGCTGACGCTGGGCTTGAGCCTCAGATTGTAGTCGCTGCGCAAGTTCACCAAGCGCTCGTGTAAGCGGTAGACCCTGAGAAAAGAAAACCGCTGTCATTCGTTTTGCTTACAGTATTTGTAATAGATTTCCATAGTTGTTTCATCCAATAGAATTACTTGTAGGTCCAAAAGGGAAAGAAATATCCCTTTTTAACTCTTTCCCTGCCAGCGTTTTTGCATTTTTGATGATTTTCAGTAAACTTTCATAGCCCCCAGAATATGTTTTTGTATGACTATCTGAACATGCAATACATCAACACTTGAATGTAGGTAAGTTTTGTAAAAAAAAAGCAACATTTTGAGCAATTTCATCAACATCATACTACATCTGGATCAGATTCAGTACGATGATCAGAGCAAAGATGCAGTAGATGGTTTCCATCAGTACTCCCAAAGCTTGCACTGGCCTTTACCAATTTCTGGATCGACATTTCACTCAGTTTTCATTTATATGCTGTTTATTGTTGATGATCACATTTTTTTCATATGCATATGCTTACATATGAGATCGCCCGTTTCTGCGTCTTCCTCGCCTGTGTTTTTGATCGCCACATTCTAGACTCATTCCGGAGATGCGTAATAGCGCCCCCGAGTGTATAACAGTGAAAACACGGAAACACCGAAAATTCCGTGTTTGGCGGGGAAAAAGTTAATGCACTGACGTCTACTGGAAGAAGGTTTTCCACTATAGTCGTATGGACTCACCTGCGATATATCTGCTCCGCCTGCACGTGGCGCCCGTCTTTGAGCAGCTGAACGTCGTTGAAGAGGAGCCGGATCATGCCGTCGGCTTTGTCCAGATCCCTTTCCAGCTCAACCGTGTGCTGCTCTGGTTTCCCGGCACTCAGGAGACGGATATCCTGCAACAAAAGTCAAAGTCACTACAATGCAAAGTTTATACAGCAACTTCATAGTTTCCACTCACATTTGTGACCCTGTACCACAAAACCAGTCATAAGGGTCAAATTGAGATGTATACATTATCTGAAAGCTGAATAAATAATCTCTCCATTGATGTATGGTTTGTTAGGATAGGACAATATTTGGCTGAGATACAACTATTAGAAAATCTGGAATCTGAGGGCGCAAAAAAATCTAAATATTGAGAAAATCATCTTTAAAGTTGTCCAAATGAAGTTCTTAGCAATGCATATTACTAATCAAAAATTAAGTTTTGATATATTTACGGTAGGAAATTTACAAAACATCTTTATGGAACACAATCTTTACTTAATATCCTAATGATTTTTTGCATTAAAGAAAAATTGATCATTTTGACCCATACAATGTATTGTTGGCTATTGCTACAAATATCCCCCAGCGACTTAAGACTGGTGTTGTGCTCCAGGGTCACATTTGACCAAATAGCAACTATATAAGTGTGTTTTGAGGATGTATAATCTCACCGTCTGCAGTAGAGACTCAGTCTGGTTGAGCTGTTCCTCACACATGCCTGATTCCATCTGCACTTTACTGACGATCTGCTGGAGACGCTCTAACCTGCAAATGATCAGAGTGCACAGACAATTCGATTACATTTTTATTTTCTAAATCGGCAGTTGGTGGTCAGAATAAGCTGCTATGAGGACCAGACGTTACGTCGATTAGTCAAAGTTCTGATGTACGCGAGACTATTACACAAATGACTGGAAGATTTTGCAATAAAATGAAGAGACAGGATTTTCAATACAGTAAAAACTTTGAAACTAAAATAATACAAATCTGAAAAATATGATGGGGAATTACTTCGTAAGACATTAAAAATCACCCGGACGTGGTTACATGGTTACAAGTAATTGAAAAAAAAAAACTAAACAAAACAAGCAAGAAACTCACAGTTTTCCACGACGAAGCAACTACTCTAAACGATACGGGTCTGTCACAAAGGCCATTTTTTACAGTCCAAAATGCATAAAAAGCATGTTTTTCTTGTCATAATCCTGTCATGGGACTCGGACAGACCAAACCACAGCCAGGATGAAGTTGTTGTGGCACTTGGTCAGTCATTCCACAGTCCATAAAGAAACTGTGTGCTGCATATTACTCTCGTCCAGCAAGAGCATTGTCTTGTGACAGGGGACGTGTCCTGGTGTTTATGATACTCCCTCTCCTTCAAGATGATGGACATCCATAACTATTTCATTTCATTTACATCAGAATTGAATCGCAACATTCTTTTATCGGTCTCATCGACACTGAAATCGCTAAACTTGCTACACTGCTTCACAGAAACTGAAGAGAACAATCAATACGTCTATTTGGAAATCACTCATGTGACGAATACAGATTCATCAGTCTCTATATAACTAGGAAGGTTTTAAAAATCCAGATTCATTAAAACAGTAATAATCACACTAAGCAAATCCAAAATTGTTTAATGTTTTATAACGAAAACTGAAACACAAACTCTTTGCTACATTCTCCTTGATTGTGAAAAACTCAAGCATTTGACAAACAGTTCAAGGTTTCTTGCATCAACACAGCTATAATTTAGTTGTCTGTTTTTACTACAGTATATTTAAGATATCTATATGTACTGTAAATGATCTCCGTTATGATTGTATAAACGCTTCGTATATGAAACTGTAGTTCATACAGGCGTTCGTTATTGCTGAATATTGAACAATAAACATAGTTTGTGGTTACGGCAGTTTTAAATGATTAAACAATAAACCAAGTGATGAAAAAACATACAAACAGTGTTTTCACTTGTTCGTATATACTATGACGAACTAAAAATCACCAAAACACCAGCTGATTACAAGTCACGAAGCAAAAATGAAGAAGAAGAGTGAAGAGAGAAGCTCTGTTTGTGGATACCACTTATTGATAATTGATATTTTGTATCAAATGCAATAAAATGCATGCATTTTAAGTGCTGAAGTGATACGTTTTGAGACTGCATCATTCTCACGCAGCTCTCATTAGTCTAGAATGACCTTCGTTGTGTTATAACGGCTGATGTAATGTCAGTTTTGCCAGTTTAAAGCCATGACCGAACTAAGACAGGTCTGTGTTTTAGACGTCTTCCTCACCTCTCAAACTCTATCTGGAGCAGTCTCTCCCTCTCCAGAATAGCCACATGTAGACGCCCCCATTCCTTCTCAACGTCAATGGGATGATAACCAGGAGGAACCTTGACCTGACCAGCCTGGACCGCGCTCTGTGAGGAAATGGTGGTAAATCATGTTAAGACAGAGGAAACATAACATTATACAGATTTAAAACACTTAAATGGCTTTCACATCTCATGTTTCATGTTTAAATCTCCATGATTGTAGCACAATATACTGTATTCTGATGGTGTGTGCAAACCTCAAAGGACTGGTAGAGGTGTCTGGAGCGGCTCTTGTCCGACTCTTTTGCGGGAAGCTCTGTTTCTTTAAATTTCAGAAACTGACGCCACAGAATCTGCAATGTAACCACACAAGCAAATTAATAAATAAACACACACAGATATATAACACAGTGCAATAATTTGGGAGTAACAGGGTTACTATCATTAACTAAGACTAAACCATACTAAAACCACATCTTCATTCATTTAAATAAAATAGACTTTAACTGTAATAAAACGTCAAATACTGAAAAATTACTCTTTTATTTCAGCAGGAGTACTAAAATAACAAAACTAAAACTTAAAAACTAAAAGAACTGTCTGTAACACTTCATAATAAACTTTCTCAGTTAACCTTACTTAACTACATTATTTAACATGAACTAACAATTACAATTTTGAAACATAGATCTATTAAGTTAATTGAGGCAAAAATCGTAGTTAATAGTGTGACACATATTTAATATTTACTATTTAATGAACCTGAGCTAACATGAACAAACAATGAACAGGTGTATTTTTATTAACTAACATTAACAAAGATTCACAAATACTGTAACAAATGTATTGTTCATTGTTAGTTGACTAAGTAACTAAGGTTAACTAAGGAAGGTTGTTGTAAAGTGTTAAAAATGACACACACATTACTAAAACTTTAAGATTAAAATGAAAGCAGAACATATCAAAATAATACCAAAAACTATAATAGTATATCACTGACAGTAAATTAACACTAAGGGGTAAGAGCGTAGTAATCAGCATATGCTGGAATATCAAGCGTGCCCCTCGATAACCCTAAGCAGGTAGATCTGGATGGTTCAGTGAGTATTTGTCATTTGTTATTCCTCTAGCATGATTGAGGATAGGCTTCACAAAGCTGGTAATATAAGTAGCTGCTCTGAGATCAGGATGATATGCATCACACAGCCGCCCCACGCTGATGAGACACAGCCATAGAAACTCAGACAAAGCAGCTCAGAGCCAGAACGCTGCTCTTCATGATGCGGTGTCATGTGACATGACTCATGCTCTGCAAAGAAGGATTTCTTCCAGCAACATGCCATCGGATGAGGAGGATAGGGTTCTCTCTCTGCTATTGGCAGTGTTGGGATCGACTTTTACATTGTTTGCGAAGCTACAAGTTAATCACAGGTATATTTTTTAAAGGGGTGGTTGATTGTGATTTCACTTTTTTAACGTTAGTTAGTGTGTAATGTTGCTGTTTGAGCATAAACGATGTCTGCAAAGTTACGGCAAACGTTAAAGTTATGCAAACGGAGATATCGTCTTTTAAAATGCTGGCAGTTTAATGCCTACAAAAACGGCTCGTAGGGACTACAATGAACTACATCCCGGGATCGTTATGCTACAAACCCAGAAATGTACATAAACCCCGCCCCCAGGAACATGCAAAAAAGGGGGCGGGGCCATGTTGCGCGGCTTTAGAGAAGTTCCCAGACAACGTGCAGTACACGGTTAACGAATCACAACAAACTGGGCCAGCTAACCAGTCTGAGCCCATTGCGTATTTCTGAGGGAGTGGAATCATAGAAACAGGAAGTCAACCGGCTGTTCAAATGACAATGGAGACAGCGTCTTACAATAAAGGTTAAAATATATGAAAAACAAGGCGTTTTTTTAAAATAAAGCATAAAGACATGTTACATGTCATGACATGCAATTCTGACTTTATAACTCGCAATTCTGACTTCATAACTCGCAATTTTGACTTTAACTCGCAATTTTAACTTCATAACTCGCAATTCTGACTTCATAACTCGCAATTCTGACTTCATAACTCGCAATTTTGACTTTATAACTCGCAATTCTGACTTTATAACTCGCAATTTTGACTTTATAACTCGCAGCCTAATTTACATAACTTTGGCAAAAACAGTAATGCACTGCTGCAGGAAATACTTAAATAAAATAAAAATTTAAAATGCAAATATATTTGTTTGAACCGTGAAATGTCACATAAAATAAATGACTATTAAATAATAAAAAAAAAAGCAAAATAATTATAAATATAATACATTTGTAATAATACTAAATGCAATAAAACTGTAAAATAAAATAATACAAAATAAAAATTCTATGCTAGTTACCAAGTTGCTGACCATCAAAACCTATTGGGTGAAGCTGTTCGACCAGCATGGATTTTGCTGGTTAAACTAGTTAGAACTCCAGCATTCTATGCAGTCTCCAAATCACAGCATATTCTAGTGTCTTAATTTATCTGGTCCTTTAAAGGACAGTGACCCAGATAATTCAACACAAAACAATGTGCAACTCACAGACAGATAATGAAGACTGCAATTCATTCAATAACTGAATTCAAACAGAGTAACTAGTAGCAACCCAGACCACACAACAGCAGACTCACCTCGACCTCCTCATAGCTGCTGGGAAACTTCCTCTCCTCGAAGATGAGTACATGATGTCTGATCCACTGGAGAAGAACGGTGACCAGCTCGTAATACTCCTGCCAGCGCAGCTCCAGCTCCTGCAGCCGGGAACAAGACCACACAAAAACTATTCAGAGAGGTACAGGAAAGCTCTTTTGCCACTAAGTCACTTACCACATTCACTCAATTAGGTGTCAACAGTCGTAGCCTTGTCTGATAACAGCATATGAAGGGAGGGACGAATCAAATACAGGGGCTTATTTATCGATAGTTTGTGACACAGCTCACAGATCATCTAATTCTCTTCTCATAACAGATGCTGATGGCGTGACGGAGGAATGAAATAAACTGCATCTGACAGCAGCTGGATGCTGTTATATAAGCGCAGATGGCAGAGATCCAGATCACACAACATCTATTACCTCTTCAAGTTTATATTCTTAACCTTTTATCCTCCTTAAAGGTGTAAACAAGGACGTGGAAGAGGAGCCTTCTGTCATTTTGTAACTCCAAAGAGGGTCAAAAAGGGTCATGATTCACCATATTTGAATGCGTGCAAATGAATTTGTAAAGGACAAATGTTCATTTAATTTTGTGCCTTTTCTTAACAAAGCTTTTTTACACTGTTAAAAGGTAAAAGGTTCTTTGTTGGCATTGATGGTTCCAAGAAGAAACTTCAACATCCATGGAACCTTTTCATTGCACAAAAAGTTCTTTGTACTGGAAAAAGGTTCTTTAGATTATTAAAATATTCTTCACTCTGAGAACAAAAATGGTTCTTTTAAGAACTGTTCACTGAACGATTTCTTAGGGAACCAAAAATGTTTCTTCATCTTTTTTTTAAAGAGACATCTTGGAATATAGTCATGTACAATTTTAGGAGCTCAATAGTCTTAAAGTGTAACAAAGGTGAAAATTGGGCTAAATTTTGCAAGCAAAAATAATCCATTGTCTACTGTTAATAGAGCAGAGAACTATGAAGTCACTTTCAAACCAAGCATCTTTCTGTTGATGATTTTGCATAGCCAACTTTGCATGAGCACAACCTGTGTGGGTAACTTTTTGTCTTCACACAAAACTCCAGATTGTTTGGATTCCTATTGAAGTAACTGGATTTTGCTAATGAAATTTCTCTGAGCATCAGTAAATGTGACCGCATCTTTGGTCCCCATTCACAGTAACTGTATTGAAAAGAGCAGCATGAACATTCTGCTAAACTTCTCCTTTTTTTTTGCACGAATGAAATAAAATCATGAGGTCTGGAATGCGTTTCTGAGTACATGACGATCATCTTGTCATTGTTAGAGAGACTGGACACTGATGCTATTCAGCAGTAGTGTGGGAATTTCACAGACAGGAAACCTTAAGTAACCTCATTCATATAGTTTTATTAGATTTGGTTCGACGGCATATTAACTGGACTATGTGCTGACTGCCTAAGTCTGGAACTGGGTCGTTAAGTGGAAATTACGTCATATTGAAATGATGAGGGAAATGCTCACATTGGCTCTGACGCCGTCCTGGACGTCTGGGATACGGGGTATAGCGTCGTAAAGGGAGGACACATAGGTGATGATGGACTTCTCATCAGGATGAGGCACATCCACATCTGCAACGAAAAGAATTGCAGATTAATAAGCGTTCATCGTTTCATTCAGAATGTTCAATAAAGAGATGAAAAAGAGATGCTTTGTTTAAGCAGAGTGCATTTGTCTGCTGCAACTTCATGGAAGATCAGATCAAATTTCAATCAAACAATTTGGATTTCATCAACATGAAAGGGAAACTGTGAATATATATATTTTTTCTCTGTTGTGATGTATATCCAAATTAAACAGGTAAAATGTAAAAAAACTAAAATCTATTTTGTCCATCAGGAATTGATTAGTTTTCGTTTGCTAATTGCTGCGATCTTGCACAAATCAAATCAAATAAGTTAACGTTTTTAATAAAGACAAGGACACAAGCATTTTAAAAAACATAAAAAATATATTTATGTGGATGGATAAACCAGGCATAATAAACATTGTAATATTCATGTAAAGTCAAAGGGGGTCACATACTTTTGACACTTTTCAAATGTCAAAGGATTGTAAACTCAAAGAAAGAGCAACCTACCGTGTTACATTTAATCAGGATTTAGCTCCAGTACTAGGTGTTAATATCTAATAATTTTCTTAAATTTAACATTACCCTCTGGGTCAAGCAGTCGTGTGACCCCAAGCTCTCGCTCTGCCACTGAAAAGGCCTGTTCCAGGTTCTCCAGATTGGATTGGCGGTACACCTTCCCCATGTCAATAAACCTGGGCCTGGTCAATCAAGAGAAACAAAACCATCAGCCTCAGGAAGTGTGTAATAAATGCAGCCTACTGTAAAAAGTTTAAATCACTGGATCACTGAACAAAAACATGCATTGCAAATGCAATCCAATGCATAAAAAATGCAAACACTTTACGATAAGATCACATTATGTCTAACATTAACTAAACAATACCAATATATTAGTTACAGTTCATGTTACCTCCGGTCCATCAAAAAACATTAACAGATACAACTTTTGATTTCAATAACGTATTATTATTAAATGTTTAACATGAACTAAGATTAATAAATACTCATGAAGTATATTTCAGTTTTAGTTCGGGCAACTAATGTAGTTAATGTTAACAAATGGAACCTTACGGTAAAGAGTCACCAAAGCAAAATTTTTTAATGAAATCAGAATGAGAACATTTTGCTTCTTTGGAGTCAGTGGATTTGAATATTGCACAATATAATAAGTATAAATGTTGCTTGATACTAGAGGATATAATGAGTTCAGAGACGCAGTTGAAGTGACCACCTGCTCCATAAATCCAAATAACATCTGTCTCCTGAGGGATGGAGCCATAACTCACATGCCATGAATACCCAGAGATGGGAGCGGCTCCAAATAACAGAGGGCGAACAAACTATACACATTTACACCGAATGATTAAAGCATCGAAAGTGTGATAAATGAAGCAAGCACCCAGGCATCTCTGTGAAATGTATGCTGGAAGGCATGGCATAAAATTCTCCAGCATGGTATTGAACGTCTGCCACCATGCTCCGATCGTCCGTCCCGAAGCCTCCATGGATCTGCCTCAGGTCTCTCTCTGATAAATAGCCCACTGAGCTCCAGTCCGGCCCGTATCCCGTCTGAGAGTCTCCGCTGGAGCGAGCGCCTGGACTCTGGGAGCCACGGCCGGAGTCCAGGGAACTCTGTGAGGGAATATCCTCGCACAGCATGACCACACGGTCCTCCACGTCACTCGCAGAAGCCATAGTGCTGCTGGAGCTGGCCCGACGCTTCTTAAAGGACAGACGCCTCTTCAAGTTGAGCATCATCGTGGCCCAAAATGTGCTTGCACGCAAGGCAATTCCAAATACAGCATACAGTTCTTGCAATTCCAAAAACCAATATCTCCTATAGTTTCTCAAAATGTGTTTCCAGAGAGCTCCAAAAAAGAAGGCACACTGTACTTGCAATGTTGTTTTCTGTCATGCAGGTGCTGCCTGTAAAAGTCATTTCTGAAAGGAGGCAGATCTGACAAATCCTATGGGTGTTCCTGGCTGACAAAAGCATCAAATCCTCTCTTCGTGTCAGGGTCAGTTGGGCGTTCCCAAGCTTTGCAGGTACATGTCAACGTTTCAGAAAAGATGCCCTGCGGGGAGGCCTGTCTCCACTCCGACAGGCACCACACCTCACGGTATTTGTCTTTCAGCCTTCATTGTACATTTCTTATAAAACTATTTTCTCATTCATTCTCTTCCTGCTCTCTTTTGTCCTCGCGTCTGCATACAGAACACACCCTCATTACAGAAAAACAGCTTTCATTTGGCCTGGATCTGTGTGGCATGTGTAGACGGTTGTTTCCCGCTTACAAAAAAACAGTATCATTGATTTAATTGATGCTCATATCGTTCCAAACCCATGTGGAACACAAAAGAAGATATTTGTAATAGTCTACATGCTGCTCTTTCCCATGCAATAAAATCAGTTTGGGTCACCAAGCACCAAAAACTAAAATTGCATTAATCTATTTTAGCTTTTAAAACTGCTACTTACTGACTTTTACATCTTCTTACTTAAAACATCCTGACTTAAATCTATTAAATCTACTTTCTAGTGAGACTTTGTCAAGCCAACATAAACTCTGTCTGGACAAACTTTTTTATCTAGTCGGCCTCTGCTGTAGTTCTCAAATCTCATTTACATTCGCATACATTTGAAAATGATGTGTCACGGTGCATCTAGTACATCTCATAACTGTTTCTTGAGCTCGACAGCCCATTATAACCATATACCACTTTATATTCAAGAGCTACTCATAAACTCTGCATGATATCTCCTTTTGTATTCATCAAAAAAGAAATGTCAATAACACTTAAAGGCTTTATGTGAAAGGCATTATAAAAGTTTTCATAATGCATGTTGTAATGCATTAAAAAAAATCGTAATTAATTGCAACCAAAATTAAAATGCATTATAATATTTGAAGGTTTGTTTGTTATGAGTTGTAATGCATTATACTTTCTAAAGGTGAAACAATAAATAGATAAGTATTGTAATGTATTATAGCTGTGATTACATTATTAATGAGATCATGCAATTCATTGTTAAGTGCATTACATATATATATATATATATAAAGGTAAAGTGTTACCAAAAAGACCTTTAGTTTAAAATATTCAAACTTCAAAGGCTGATTAAACTCCACAAGAATAAACTGTCAGTGGTGTGCACAGCGCTGATTTGACACATCTGCGCTCAGGGCATTTATCTCCACAGAAATATGCGCTGAATTCATATCAGAACATTTCACTCCATGGCATCAAGGACAAGTTTGATCAAGAGTGAAGCATTTCTATATTCCAACATTGCTAAAAGAATGCTGTATTTTTGAGTAACTATCAGACTAATGATAAACATTTCAAGAAAATATCAGGAAACACCATGTCTGTGACAATGCAGTGGTGACTACTACTACTTTAGACTTTTACAAGCCAAACCCCAATCTTGAGATGTAGTACAGAGGTACTTACTCGTGTTTGTGTATAACAGCATTGAAGAGCTTTCCGTCCCTCCAGCTAGTGGTGAAGTTATCGCAGCGGATACCAGAGTAACCCTCCACCATCCGCCGAGACCAGAGGAGCAGCTTCTCCTTCGCTGACATATCATCTGACTGACCGTTCACCTGGATATCTGAAATCTGCCAGCCCAGAAAAATGAGTTGCATGGATTTAATAACATGTGGCAGCAGCAGCCATATGCTTTTCATGTGCAAATCAATAAATAATCAAAGTGGTTGATTTCTTACACAAATTTTAGTCATGCACTACAAACAAAAGCCCCACTGAATACCATTGACCTCCTAAAACCCCTCTGAGACCCGTCATTAGACTTAATCCATGAACAAGTGCAGCAAAAACAACGCAGTTCATTAAAGAAAAATCCAAGCTTGGAAATTGGTTCACCGTCAGTGTTGGGTAAGCTATATATTTAAACTAGGGATGCACGATATATCGGCCACCATATCGGTATCGGCCCATATCGGCTCATTTTTTCTGTTATCGGTATCGGCCTGATAAGAAAATTTGGCCGATATCTTAAAGCCGATAAATAATGCATTATTTCCTTCAGAGACACTTCAGATGCGCGCTGTTCGTTTGCAGCCTTTTGTGCAATTGTACATTGTAATATTGTGTTTATGCAGCTTGCCGAGCTATAAGCTGCTCAGTTTGAAGCATTTAAGCAACAGTATCTGCCAAAAAACAATGAGGATCTCAAATAGAAAACATGCATTTTTAGACTACTCATAGTTAATCAAACAAGCATTAAACTAGATACTGTATGTATTTGACTACAAAAAAAGACAAAAGATATACTTCTGGCAACATTGACTGATGTAGTACAGTTGCTTTTAGTTACTCACAAACATTGTTTTAAGGCTTCGATTTTAACAAATTATGGTGACTAAATGTCCCAGATTATCCTGGATTATCCTGGGTTCATGGGTTTCATGTGTCCCAACATTTCACAAAAAAATAAAATAAAATAAATTAAGAAATAAATAAATTACATAAGTGCCAGTTTGATGTTTAATGCAGGATTCTGTTTAGAATTTGGGGAAACTCAATAGAACACGATAAAGAGGCTAAGGAAAAGGGATGAAACACTCTAGACTTAAACTTAATTTTGAGGAAATCTTTTAGAAATAGTGTTTTTCTATCCTTATTTAAACAATCATTGAATCATTTTTAATGTCACTCAGGACACAAGACTAGCTCATGGGAGGTTGCAAAACCTCAATAAAATTTCAGAAGAAGCAGAAATTTCAAGCAGAAGAAACCCTGGTCACGAGACTCTATTTTCAGTCATGCTACCTCCATAAGGAGAACGCTCTTTTATTTCTTGAGGAGGTGGGCAGAAGTTCATACGCCACATCTCTACATATACCTCTGTGTCGCTGTTGAATAAACCAGAAGTCCTGCCAACTTATTTGATCAATCCAAAGAAATTAAATTCCCTCAAACAATGGAAGGACACATCGGCTGAATGTGTGACAGCCTCCTGGCAGCTGTAGTTTAATTGTTTGAGGTGGAATAAATCAGGGTGTGGTTGTAATTGAACACCTTGAACAACAGATTCACATAATTCAGATCTACAAAACAGCCTGGATATTAGATTATGAAATTAGATTAGATCAAAGACTCTCAATTCCTCATGGTGCCTAAGACACTGAACCGATTTGTGTAGAGAATCAAACAAACTGCATCATTTTAACATTCTACGACTGTTGTGGTTGATTATAATGGATATTCCTGATTAAAGGAGATTATTTTTAAAAAATACATGTTATTGCATGAAGCAGAGACTGGTTTGAAGCAAAAACGATTGACCCTATTGATGTTTGATTGGAAACCGATGACACCCAAAGAATTAAATGAACCAGTGATTGATCCAGACTGAAGCGATTGATCAAAATGATCAGGAGCCCAGGAGGAGGAGGAGGTAAATGGTACGGGAACTCAACACTGACAGAACAGGAGACCTGGAAGTGCAGGATGATGGTCCATATGAGACCCAGCGTCAGCTTTGGGTTCCCGTCTGCAATGTCATCGTTCCTGATATTCACCAGCTTGACCTGTGATTTACAGAGAAGAACAGCATTTCACATTTGTGACACTGTCTCAATACTCTATGATTTGCTTTTCCATGAAAACACTCAAGGAGGCACTTAAAGCAAAATGTCTATGCTGCTCTTTTCCCCACTAAGACGACTGAAGATACACACATTTTCTAGATGGCTTTTTCAAATGCTATGATGGTCAGTTTTGTTGTGACCAGACAGCGGTTCCAATTAACTTTAACTTCATGTAAGAAAGCAGCTTGGACATTCTGCTAAACATCTCCTTTGATAATCCACGGATGAAAGAAAATACACAGGTTTGGAAACCAACGAGGTTGAATAAGGACAGTAAGGACAAATACAGAGTTCTGGCATGAAACTCTAGATGGCGCAGTCTGATAGGTCTAACTCAATCTGACATAATGATATCATTATCACATGGCACAGCTGATTGGTTCTCTCCTGTATCGGTAGCCAATGAGCTCGCTGCTCAACATTCAAATATATGACTAGTGCTTGCCGTAGCAGTGCAGCTTGCTTCAGAAACCCTCCACCTTCCCCAGCTCCACCTGTATAGATCTGCTACGAGGTGATTCATGTATGCTATATGGGGGTTATTTCATGTATGTTATATATGCAGCAGCAGTATTTCTTACATGCTCACAGCAGCATGTTGTGGATGTATTGGCATTAGCAAGTCTCTGTACTTGCTCTGCCGCAGCAGCAGCAGCAGCAGCGTAGCAGATCTATTCCGCCAAGACCAAATACATTAACATTGTCATGCACATTACCATGCCAATCCCTCCGAGAGTTGTCATGACAGAACTATAATTTTTGGACATACTATCCTTTTAATGTAGTTTGTAAGTTGTGTTGTTCTCGTACCTGCCGGTGTCGGAGGAAATCCAGTGCTATCTGCACATTCTGCAGTTTGTGGAATCGCATGCGTCCTCTCTCGCGAGGCTGTGGAGACAGACAGAGGGGGAATAAGACACATAACATTGTTTAAAGAAGAGACGAGACTGAGACGTGTCCTTGAGTGCCCAGAGAAACTTCTTTAGAAGGTCTAAATGAAGAAATAATGAAGAACAAGGAGGACCTTGCAGTGAGGCTACAATATTTATGAACACTAATAATGCAAAGAAAAGACATTAAAGACCCCATGAAATCAAAATGTTTAGTCTATGCCTGTTAGCATTGAGGACATCTGTATGCTAGGTGACAGAAAAACTAAATCTGCATTTAAAATATACATTTTTGATATTCTGATTCATGTTGTGATCAGGAACATATACACATTTTTGTCCAATAAGCTCCATGCAAGAATGAGCATGTTCCCTACATAAATTATACCTGCTTTGATATGCCAAGCCCCAATTTCCTGTTTCAATACGTCAACATAGATAATGCAAAAAAAATTAAAATTTAAAAATTAAGCAAACAAATAAATAAAATGCATGTTGAGTCACTTCATGGGGTCTTTAAGCTTATTTGACAGAAGTGATGGTCTTGTGGCTTTAGGGACGTAACGTGGTATAATATTGTGCATGAATGCTAAATAACTACTGAATGCTAAAAAAAACGTTCTGTATTATAGGAAACAACCCAAAACACTTGACTCCCCAAACACACTCCAACAGTTTGCAGACATCATTTTGTGACCTGAACAACTTTAACTTAAAAAAGCATGTCTTGCACAACTTATAATCAGTTATATGTTGCTTCACAATTAATGTGGATTTATTTGGCAGTCACTTAGATATCATTCATTCGCTATATTGGTCACACACCCAAACTGTGACGAGGTTCAGATAGATGGTGTCATAAAGAGAAACAGCATCAGTCATGCTCAAGCGGAGGCTACTATAATGTTATTTAGAACAGTCAAATTTCAGAATAAAAGTCCCTCAAATTAGAAGCAAAAACATGCTTTATTAAGACAGCAATGTTGTTTTTGATCTTAAATCTTTTTTATTTATAAATCTTAAAGAAGTCTTTCAATATTGTTGTATAAGAGTAAATTAAACTGCTACTGTAATGCTATTCCTAATAGTAAACTTTCAAAATAAAAGTCCCAACAAATTAGAAGAAAAAACATGTTTAAGACAGTAATGTTTTTTTGCAAACGTATCTTTTAAGTCTTTAAATTTAGAATTTTTAATGAAGTCTTTCAACATTTAGCTACCAACCTGCTGAATAATTACCCTGTAATCTTTATTTTAAAGTGCCCCTACTATGGATTTTTTTTTAATTACCTTTCATGCAGTGTGTAACACATCTCTAAGTGAATGCAAACATCCTGCAAAGTTTTAAATCTAAAAGTACCTCGTGTATAAAGTTATTGTCTCTCAAAAGAAAGAGTCGACTCTGAATAATTGAAACGAGTCGTTTTTCAAACGAATCCCAAGCCGTTTCATCTTGACGTCAACATGAAACATTAGCATATTGTCCAGGAAGCAGCACTGCGCTCACAAACGCTGCTTTATCAGGCATCACAAGTGAGATGAAATGAAAATGAGACCAATCGGACCAATCACCGCAAATTAGCGTCACGCAAAGCAAGGGTTTGGAAAAATGAATAATTGAGCGAATCGTTTGGGAGTCGTTGAGCAAATAAGATAAAAATAATTGCATATTTTAAGACAATTAAAGTGTTTTTTGACCTTGCATGCATGTCAACCTGTTGTTGGGGACTCTCAAAACCAAAATATAGACCTTTCATTACTTATAATAGGGGCACTTTAATCAGCTGAGATACCTAGCATTTTATCGCCGTGAGACATACAGTAGCATTGAAGTAACTCTAATAACAAATGAAAACAAGACTGGCGGACGTGACATCATGCGCAGGCCAGCCACAGTAAGTGACCCATGCCAATGAAGCATCTGCATCACTCACCAACCGCACGCTCCGCACAACGTCCCGCTCCCTCGGCTTGACCAACAAGAGAAGTGCAAAGAGAGCAGACAGAAGTCAAAGGGCAAAGGTCAGCAAAGAGACGGTGGGATGAAAGACAGAGAAAGAGTCAAGGAGGAGCCACACAGATTCAAAAGAAAAGCCGAAGAGTGACGTTAATGTCTGAGCTACAGCCAAGAAATGAAGCAGTTTGATGGGAAGATATCGAGAATTTGCCTGGAATATCTGAACCCAGTGTTTTGGGTGTGATTCAACAAAACGTGTTTCGAATTTAGAGAGACGTATTCCAAGGCATCACCCATTAACATGTCTTCGTTGACCTGGAGATCTGGATCAGGACTTTGGATTTGTGTGAAGGCTGAGGGCAAGGTTGGAGGTGGAGAGGTAGACTGGGGTAAGAGATGGTCTTCTCTTGACTGGCTGTTTAGCTGCATTAGTGGAGGAAGAAGTTAGGTTACACTCACCAGCGTCTCTCCGGAGAGGACCTCCAGAAGGGAGATCAGGTTATGTCCATCTCGGAGATCTTCATACAGGTCATTCACATGACGCTGAGTCTGAGGATGGAGAAAAAGCAAAGATCAGTTTACGAGAGTCACACATAAAAATTTTTAAAAAACATCCCTGCAGAAAGAAAATCCAATTCTGCATCAATTCTGAAGATTTCATTCCTCACAAACAAACACTAAATTACAACCCCGAACTGTAGCATTGTGTTTGTAGCACATCCTGATTACCGCTTGATGCGATCAGACTCATCCATGATTTTTCTGGACGTTTAACTTTTTTTGACAGGTGACTGCGTGATTTAGTTGAATTGGTTCAATTGTCAGCAGGTTTGTGTTTTATTAGTTTGGAGGACAAAATCATTTTGTCATAATTCATCTATCCTCATGTATATATTTTTTTCCCTCACATGAAACACAAGATGTTAGGCAGAAAGCCTGAGCGTCTACATTTTATTCCATTCAAGGAAAGTTAATAGTGATGCCAATCCAATCCAAATCCTATATATTCCAACTGACTTGTCATTTGGAAATGCCACTTGAAATTCTCTGGTACGTTTATGTTCTTTTTAGAGCTTGGCAGTATACATCTAGATCCAGTGTTCTTGTACGGGATAAAAACAGAAGCTTAGACATGCTGCCTAACACCTAATTTTGTGTTTAAGTTTGGAACAACATGATTTTGACCAAATTATATTTTCTGGGCATCTGAAACAGTTAAGGCTCCAAAACTGGGCAGCTCGAGCAGGGACTCTAAACACAAGCATGCATGTCTCTTGTTAAGAGAGGGGAAAAAAACCTGAATTCAAAGTGATTGATTTGCGTTTTACTCAGTGAGTACAGGACAGGGCAACGCATGGCTGCAGGCAGAAGAGCGGCTCACCTGCCTCGCGTCAAAAAAAGATCTGTGTCAAATGATTTACTGAGTGGCAGAGTTTAAATTAAATTCTGAAGCTTTCTCCTTTTTTTCTAAATCAGTCACTCAATCATTGTACAGCAGGTTTATAAAACCTCGTTGAGTCAGATCTCAGCTTCAATAATAAAAACACAGACAGACTGGGCTTCCTCAGGTATTTATCATGCAGCTATCAATATTAACTATATCGGTTACACTTCACTTGAAGGGGTGTGCATAAGACTGACATGACACCTTCATAATCATGACATGACACATGTCATGAATATGAAAGAGGTTGTATGCATGTTTATGACAACTGTCATTAAGTGTCATTCGCTCAGTTATGTAAAGATGACATTGTTTGAGATGTCTTTGTTATGGGTTATGGTTGAGGTAAGGGTAGGGGTAAGGTTAGGTTAGGTTAGGGTTAGGTCAAATAATGTCATATTTGCATTAAAAATGACATAACTGAGCGAATGACACTTAATGACAGTTGTCATAAACATGCATACAACCTCTTTCATATTCATGACATGTGTCATGTCATGATTATGAAGGTGTCATGTCAGTCTTATGCACACCCCTTCAAGTAAAGTGTTACCACTATATCTATATCAGCTATATATATATACATGCACTGCTGCAAAACACTAAAATCTCTGCAGCTCGCTTGAAAATCCTTAAAGCTACAGTTCACAGAAAACCGACAGTTATGTGATCATTTATTCTCCCTCATGTTGTTGCAAACACATTCAAATCAGTGTTATTTTAGTACCATTGATAAATATTGCAGGATTTTTTTATATTTTAACAATTTTCTGTTTTCTATTTAATTTTAGTTAAAGTTTTAGTGATTTTGTTGTTTGCCTTTTTTTATTTATTTTTTTATTAGTAAATACATTTTTATTTATTAGTTTATTTAGTTATTAGTTATTTCAGCACATTGAGTACTAAATTAAAATGAGAAATGTTGAGAAATGTAGCTGAAATAAAACAAGATTTTTAAAAATTGATTTCCATTAACATTTTGTTTTGTTTTATTTTGTTTTAGCTTTAGTTTAACTATATAACCCTGGTTCCAAACAAATCTTTATTTTTTACTATAATAACAATCAAATCTGTCGAGTTCCAGTAAGGACAAAAAAAAATAATATATATATATATATATATATATATATATATATATATATATATATACAGTTGGAGGCCGCTGTGCTCTTAGGAACCTTAAGTGCAGCAGAATTTTTTTTGTAACCTTGGCCAGATCTGTGCCTTGCCACAATTCTGTCTCTGAGCTCTTCAGGCAGTTCCTTTGACTTTATGATTCTCATTTGCTCTGACATGCACTGTGAGCTGTAATGTCTTATATAGACAGGTGTGTGGCTTTCCTAATCAAGTCCAATCAGTATAATCAAACACAGCTGGACTCAAATGAAGGTGTAGAACCATCTCAAGGATGATCAGAAGAAATGGACAGCACCTGAGTTAAATATATGAGTGTCACAGCAAAGGGTCTGAATACTTAGGACCATGTGATATTTCAGTTTTTCTTTTTTAATAAATCTGCAAAAATGTCAACAATTCTGTGTTTTTCTGTCAATATGGGGTGCTGTGTGTACATTAATGAGGAAAAAAAATTAACTTAAATGATTTTAGCAAATGGCTGCAATATAACAAAGAGTGAAAAATTTAAGGGGGTCTGAATACTTTCCGTACCCACTGTATATATATATATATATACTGTATATATAAAATAACAGTGTGTTGAGTGAATGATGACAGGATTTTAGGATCAAAATACTCTTTAACTAATAGTGTAACACAGCAAACCTTTTCACAATTTATAAATTTAGCAAGATTGCTTCCTATAATCCAAGTACAATGACAGAGCTGTCGTCACTGTACATCCAGTATGTGAGTGAGCAGATGGGGTTTCATGCGCAGCACACGTGATGAGGCAGTGCAGACTTCTTATGCTGCATTTTTTTCTGCATTTCCTTTGGTTCTTTAGCTGCAGATTTCTTTGCTGCAGTGCATGAGACTAAAACGAATGGCAACCAATGGGCCATTTTCAAGCTCAAGCTGTGAGCATGGTTCAGCAGAAGAGCCTCGGGGAGGACAGGAGCACTGAACATGCGTGTGAGAGAGCAGAGCATGCTGGGACACGCTGACAAGATGGACCTACCTCAGCTCTCCGGTGCTGGAGGAGAGGATGAGGAGGAGAGAAGAGCACAGAGTGATGAATGGAGTTACATCGATTCGAAATGGAACAAAGAAGTGAAAGTTGAATGATGAAGGACAACATTAAGATTTAAAATCTGATGCTGATATCAGCTACATCGGTTATATTACTATAATCTCCTTTTATCATGTTCAAAACTTGCGATTTATCTTTTCCCACAGACATAAAATAAGACATTTAGCAGAAAGTCCTTCACACAAAGCCTTCACATTAAAAGAACACTTCATACGAAGTGCTGCTGGTAGTTTTTGTCCATGGCTTGGCTGTTTCAGCTGATTTGCACTTGATTTGTATGGAAAAAGCGGCCTGTACGTTCTCATTTTGGCTTCCACAGAAAAAGAAAAATCAAAGTGGTTTTAGAATGACATGAGAGTGAGTAAATGAATTCTCTTTCCATCGTGGAAACTTAACATCTTATTCGGTTAAATGTTGTTATACCTTGAGGAACACTCACTGGAAATCATTTTCTGAAATTTGTACTTAATTCTTTGCAAATATTAGACATCAAATGTTCAGAATTGCCCTTTCTCTGTAATGTAAATGTAATTATATTTTATGTATTTTAAAAGTCTTAATATAAAGCATTTGTAAGCTGGATAAATGACTTCTATTCAACTGCTGTATAAAGCAGAGGACAAGGAAAAGATGATCGACAGAACTACTGAGGTCTTCTGAAGTTCAGCACAATAAAGCCTGCAGCCTCTTTTCTTTCACAAAAACATCTGAAAACTGAAAGTGAAATGTGACCCTGGACAACAAACCCAGTCATTAGGGTAATTTTTTTTAATTGAGATTTATACATCAGCTGAAAGCTGAATAAATGAGCTTTCCATTGATGTAAGGTTTGTTAGGATCGGACAATATTTGGCTGAGATACAACTATTAGAAAATCTGGAATCTGAGGGTGCAAAAAAATCTAAATATTGAGAAATTCATCTTTAAAGTTGTTCAAATGAAGTTCTGAGCAATGCATATTAGTAATCAAACATTTAGTTTTGATATATTTTCGGTAGGAAATTTACAAAATATCTTCATGGAATATGATCTTTACTTAATATCCTAATGATTTTTGGCATAAAAGAGAAATGTATAATTGTGACCCATACAATGTATTGTTGGCTATTGCTACAAATATCCCCCAGCGACTTAACACTGCTTTTGTGCTCCAGGGACACAGATGTCAACAAGGCAGAGCTCATATTGAGCCACTAGAGGTTTCTGTTGATGCATTAAATGCATTAAACCTCACACACAAACCATACTGTGTATTATTGCAATGAACTTCATCACAATCCATGACTCTTTGCTATAATGTATTATATCACAGTCAGTGTTCGAGTCACACATTGGCAAAACACCAATCCAGACCTAAGCAATGTATGGGTGTATTATACTGTAATAAGTCTCATTTGTGCCATCTATCTCCATATACTTGACCACTAGCCCATGTTTTCAGCACAAAGCAATAGCAGCATCTAATAAGCGCTAGATGACAGCTGATGACAGCGACAAACCACAGAGCAAACTGTTTTTGTGATCTCTAAGTGTTCGTCAAGGTCAAACTCAAACATTCAGTCAGCAAATATAGATGTGTCCGTGTAGATAACAGCCAGATTATTATAAAATAAGGGCTTATATTTGATAGTATAAAGAGTGAAAACATACTCAGTGTTTGTATTAAATACAAATGAGTTGAACATTTGCTACATAGGTTTATGTAGGTGTGCTCTGGATGCACATCCTAAAATCACTTTGATATTAATAATAATTAATATAACAAACAGTATATAAAACAATTGTTTTACCCAGAAACTTTGCCAAAATTCATAACAAATAAGGTAAGGATGAGATAAGGTCAGAATAAATGACGAAAGCACATTGTCAAACATAATAATCTGCAATGATGAGGTTACATTCAGAATTTAGCCTAAAACAGTTGTTCATTTGAGCTGTAAAGATGTGTGAGAAAAGATTAAATTCAGTCCTCCTCTGAGAAAAAAAGTAGTCAACTTTTGCTTAATCACAGATAAAGGGCTTTAACCCAGCCAAACATCTGCAGCACATGTGCTACTGTTGGCTGCACTGACAAGTGTTTATTCCCTGAATATGATATGCATGCTGCAAAATGAATCCAGATGTTCTTGACACGCAGGTTTGTCTTATATCAACTCTTTTGTTCTGAAGGGGTCTCGTGTTTTGCCTCCTCTACGGTGAATGAACAGGCTTGATGGATTTGTACGAGTGCTAATAACCTCCGATTTTGTCTGGCGCTACATTTTCATTATCTTTTGTTTGGATTTTCAACACACCCCCTTTCTGCCTAAACACTAGACACTTTAGACTAGACCATGATAAACGAGCTGTGTGTAGATTTATAACATGTGTGGACAGGATATGATCTGCTTCTCTACGGCGGATACAAACAGAAATCATGTTCAGCCCAACAGCTGTTATGTCTCCCCAAATGGAAGAGACTTTAAGATGAGTACACCAGTTTCTAAACTGGGTGTTGTGACATAGTGGCTCAAAATTGCACTGGTAACTAATAGTAGTGGTATGTGTGAGCAATACACTGGGAGACATGATAAACTGGTAGAAATGTAACGAGTATTATCTGTCCATCATGGTTATGCTCACATGACATCGCAGTGCTGCACTGTAATAAAAGTTGATGTTTTTAAGCCTTTCTTAAAGTGAAAGAACTTAATTTGATACTTGCACACTGTTCTGATTATTATTATTATTAGTTGACCGAAACTAATATTAAAGCTATAAAAAGTCAAATGAAAAAAAAAAAAGTTGCTTGAAATAGTTTCACTTTTTTCAACTCAATGTACTAAAATAACTAAAACTGAAATAAAATTTTACAATTATATAGACATATTTAGAGGGGAAAAACATGATCGCAAATGACAAAATCTCACTTTAAAATTACTTTTGAAACTTTAAAATGAAACTGGAAAATAAAAAAATTAGTAATTAAAAAAAAAAACTATAATAGTATCTCAGTGATACTAAAACAACACGTTTTAATCAGTTTTTAATCAGTGCACACACCCAAAGCTAGAGTACAGAAAACCTTATCACACAGTTCTTTTTCATTGTTTACTTGTCTTAGTTTTCCTGTACATTAGTTAGGCTATTATTAGTTTTGTTACAAAAAAGTGTTTTTTTTTCCATTAAAACTACATTGTGATATATCATTTCACAACAACAATATATAAGATGTTCATCACACCGGCCATTGTAGGTTCAAACTCTACAAGGGTTGATTCATGAACTAAACCTACACTCTAAAAAGTGCTGGGTTAAATACAACCCAGTGCTGGGTAAAATAGGGACAAACCCAGCTTGTGCTGCGAAAGTGTATAGTAAGTTGCATTGGATTTGTTTGTTAAAATGATAATCAAATAAGCCAATAACAGTAAAATCACAATTTGAACATGAATGGATGAGTACACAGAAGGGAAGAGCAGGACCGATAATCACTGGCTATATTATCCTGACAAACTACAGTGAATAATGAACATAAAGGTACCTTTATTAAGTGTTTGTTCACCCATTTTGTGAAAGTCTTCTTCTGCACTCTGTCCCGTTCATCTGCAAAAAAAAGATAAAGAACAAAAAATTTCAACACACTTCAGCAGTGTTCAGAGTAAATGTCTGGATATGAAGGAATTTACGTCATTTTGTAAATACTGCTGATTATTAAAATAATGTTTTGATGTTAAACTTTAAAATGCTAAATCCCTATAAATAAGCAATTAACAGGTTAATTTCACTGAGAAGTGCAAAACCGTCTCTGTGATGCTTTCAAATCACCGATCTGTTGATTTGATTGTTACGCTCAGCCCAAAACAACCACTAGTGTGAGTGTGTTTCCAACAGGACTGCAAGTGAAGAGAGTAGTGCAACAAATGAAAACTCGATAACCCACGCCAGAACGTTTTTAAATCAACTCTTTTTGCATAGGAGCAAACTATTAAAACTCAGCACCAAGGAGGCACACCCATGTGAGAAACCGATCTCTGGGTAAAGCCGGAGAGCAATAACTGTCAAGCAACAACGGAGCGCAGGTTCGAAGGGAAGAAAACGGCATGCATTGTGAGGCCTCAGGCTGGGAAAATTCACCAGAGCTTTAATCCTAAGTGTGCATCACTCACGACAAACCGAACACCACAGACACACCCACAGCCTGCAGAATCATGTTCCTTCAGCAGCGAGAAGCACAAGAGAACACTGCATACAAACTACCAACACTTGCATCTGTCATCATTACTAGAGAACTTGCAAAGCACTGTGTTGTTCAGAGTAATCTGAAGCAGCATGCTCACATTTATTGTTAAAGTTTGTGAGTTAGTTGGTTACTTTTTCTATTAGTTAGCTTCAGCTACACTACTTAACCATTTGATACATGCATGTCGGTGCATTGTAATTACATTTAAAGTACTTGTACTTAATTAACATGTGTCATTACAGTGTTAACTTTATCCCTATCTGTAACTCAACCCTTACCGCAAAACCTAACCACTATAACCCTAACCTTACCCTTACTACCAAACCTAAGCTCATTAGCAAAAAATGTGTACTTTTTTCAGAACAACATGTAGTTACACAGCAAATCCATTATCTTGCAGGTATTTAATGCTAGTTTATAGTAGTTAAGGCCAGCTAATATATTGTAAAGTGTGAAGTTAGTGTTCAAAGTAACAGAAAAAATTGACATTTGTGTAGAAAAATACACAGGACAGCATGCAGAAGCATTAGAAATAAGAATCTATGATAGAGATTTCAATACACCTCTTTCTGGGAGGAAAACTGCTGTAAACTCATGTCTAATCACAATACCAAATCTGAACCAATGGCATCAGGTGCACAGGACATCCCAACACCATCTCTAATTTGAAGGATGGTGACGACGGATCAGCAAGGACTGAAAGACGTTTAAATATACTAGGAATCAAGTGTCAAGCAATCTCGAAGGAATGCATGAGCCAAAACAGAGCAAATGCCCAACACCTCAATCCAATTAATTGACGCTTCTGTGGAATCAAATGTTCTCCGCTCAATACAATGTTGTCAGGTACAGCAGGGTACTTCAATGCATAACATGATATACAATTGAAACAGTTTGCTGAGCAATGTTAAGAGTCCTTTAAAACGCAGAGTGATTGTGGAGTGTTGAGGGAACAGCTGATTCAGACCCGCATGACTTCTGCTTCTGATGGGTGGAGTATGACGAGCAGATTATGAAATATAACTGCCATGGTGACTATCATGGGTGGAGGGTCATTAATGTAAGACTTCCTTAAAGTGTTCGAAGAGTCCTACTGCGGGAGATGAGGTGGATAATTAGGAACAGATTTGCGGGGGTCGTCAGCAGACCTTTGTCCTTTGACCACCGTTCACATGCTTTCTATCCTCTAAAAGTTGTATAAAGTTACAGCAACCAATGCCCTTGTGATTCAGCGCACAACTCCTGCCCTCTGGGGGGTGTGAGGCATGCAAGAAAATACATTTTTTATCTATAAAATTCTATTTTATCCAGCGTTATTGTACGCTATAGTGTCAAATGCACTTTCTCACCACTGTTTGCTGATGACATACTGAACGAGCCAATCCAGTGAATGTCCCACTTAACACTTTTTACACTGGTAAATATAAGTCATCTATTTAAATATTGGTCAGGTGAGGCAGCTTCTGTGTGAGCCTTTTTAAAGTGTGAATTAAAGGCACCTGGGCAAAGCAACGACAGATTGCAAACATTATAAGGCTAGTGATAAACCTTGAGTTGTTTACTGCTTTACTAAAAAATAAATATTAAGACTTAAATGCAGTTTTTTAATAATGAGATCTTCTAATATCAGATCTCATTATAATATCTTCTACTATAGTCCTGTTTGCTTACAAGATTGCATTTAAAAAGGTGTAAAATATTTTTCTCATGGTTGTTGTCTTTAATGCAAGAACTGAACAAGTATTAATACATCAAGATAAAAAGTCCTAGATTTCCTAGATCCTGGACTGACACTGAAGAAACCTAAGCCATATACACTGCAAATACTACTACTAATAATAATAATCAACAATGTTTTCCAGTAAAATAAGATACATTGACTTAGAAAGCAAATTTGCATATGGCATTAAGACTTTTTCTCAGAGAATATATCTGGAATGAAATTGATTTTATGACCCCATTTGTGCTTAAATCTTAATCTGACACAGTTTCGCATCTCAATTAAACTGATCTTGTTTTATGAACGGCTTACACTTTATTCTGACAGTCCACTTTAGAAATTCTACTCACTATACTTTGCAACTACATGTCAACTAAACTCTCATTAGAGTGTTGAGCGTTCATGTAGATATGATACTTGTAGAATGAATATCTAAATACAGTGTTACCTAAGAATGTTTCCAAAACCAGAATACTGCTTAAAATCAAAGATTCGTTTCAATGTAAGTCTGTGAAGTTCACACACTAATAATAACTAGAGATCTGACTTTGACGAAGAAGAAATTTCTCTTCCATCACGAGCAGGTGCATCAGAGAGCTTTCCTAACTACCTTTCCTGCCTTCCAAGGCTTTCAGCATTCCCTGATAGTGCAAGTCATCTGAAGGGATCCTCTCCAGGCTGTCGCTTGAATATTCCCTCCGTCTCTGTTGCGTACTCATCCTCCTTTGCGTCACGCTAGTCACAAACCGTGCTCCTTAACTTCACTTGTCCGAATCGAAAGCTGCAGCGATGCTCCTGTTCTGCTTTCTTTCTGTTTAACTCCTGCCGTCCATTTCCTAGCTCCTCTAAGTGATGCAACTAGCTACAGGTCGTAGGCCTGCTCTTGATCTGACTGCAGAGAGACATGGAGGGCATTGCAGGATATGCTTGGCTCCGCCTCAGCCCTAAATTGTCATGTTGGTGGAGCCGAGGCAGGAAGAAGAAGGGAAAGTGAGTGGGAAGGTGTGTCCGCCAGCATGCCTCATCTAGAATCTCACACCCTCTCCGAACACACACACTAAATCATTACAGTCTCTAAAGAATAACGCAACAGGAAGAGCGTTGAGAGTGGCGAGTTGTGTAACTGCACGCTAAACGAGTGTGTAGAACTGGTCAAAAGAGCCATTACAGGAACTGGATTACATAATCACGCTCTAAAAACTACTCATGCCAATAGACATCACACACACACAGGTATACACCTCTTTAATGATTAACCTCTGTGACAAACCTGAGCGGTTGGGCAAGTATGACTAACTGAGGCAGGGTGAGGCTCTGGGATGGGCCGCTCAGGTCTACACATGCTGGAGCTTAACAGTATTGAACCCAGAAAATACATAACCAGAGGCTGCAGAATCAACAGCAAGAAATACAAAGAAAAATCTTTATAAGAATCATCTCGCTTTCTTGTTTGCATGAGTGTGTGCGTATGTGATCGTGCTTAAACTGCACGTGCACCATCTTCCATCACTAAAGAGTGTGTAGATATGTTCGAAATCGTTCATAAGCGATTACCGGACTAGTCTTTACACTTCAAAATTGAACGTGTTACTTGCAAATCCACACAATTTCTGAGTGAAAACAACACTAAAATACTGAAAACTGACACTACATTTCTTTTTATACTAAAACTGTAGGAAGAGAAAGATACAACAGCTCTGCTCATAAAGACATAAACCTACAGCAGAAGAAGAAGATGAGGATGGGGCCTTCATCACCCGCTCATCATCTGAACAGACCCGCACCATAAGCGTTGAGAAGCTGCTCATTTGATAACCTGTTCAGGCTCGCCGGTAACTATAACAGCCTGGACTTGACCGTGTTTGCAGGATTCTCAATTTTTTTCGATATCTGACATATTTCTCAGCGGATATGGAAGCTGACGCCTTCGGTTTATAGACGTCTAAATGTCTGTTGATACAGGAGACGGTATTAAGGTGCGACAAAAAAAAAAAAAAACTACCAACACCTATAATAGCATTTACTTTCTTTTTTTTATGATTTACATTTTTCCAATCGATTTAAAATATTTCCTATACCCACTGTGATTTCAAGTTTTGTAACCTTAAATAGGTCAAAATTATTGATGTATGCATGCATGTGTTGGGATTTTTTTAAATGCATCAAGGTCGCATTAAATGGATCAAAAGTGACAGTAAAGACTTTTACAATGTTGGAAAGGATTTCTATTTCAAATACATGCTGTTTTTCTACACTTTCTATTCATCAACAATTCCTGAAAAATAAAATGCATCACGATTTCCACAAACATATGAAGCAGCACGACTGTTTTCAACATTGTTAATAATCAGAAAGCAGTAAATCGGTATATTATACTAATTTCTGAAGATCATGTGACACTGAAGACTGGAGTCATGATGCTGAAAATACAGCTGCGCATCACAGAAATAAATGCGATTTTACAGTATATTCACATAGAAAACAGTGATTTTAAATTGTAATAATATTTCACAATATTACCATATAATATTGATTGACTACTTTTATATTTACACAAGTACGTAACCTCATTAGCTTTGATCAGCCTTGTTTAATTACAGTGCCCTTGAAACTTATAAACTTATAATTAGATCATTTATTGTA